CTGGTACTACTGTGAGTTTTCCGGACCGTTTCCGGACCGCGCAAGCTTATTTTGCTTCCAAATTTGAAACGAATGCGTTCACGCATGGATCCTTACTCCCACTACTAGATTTGCTACTACTCTTAGTACTACCACCACACCCGCTGCTACTGCACCACCACTACCACTAGGACACCTAGGAATTTCTGCTCTTGCTTTTAAATCCAATTGACACGAGTTCCGCTGAAGGGTCAGAAACGAGTCAGAAACCAGTCAGAAACCCGTCAGAAACCGGTCAAACGCAACCATCTGTTTCCCCATCCCTCCCTCTCTCTCTCTCTCTTTCTCTCTTTCCCTCCCTCTCCCTTTCTTCCCTTGCCCTGCTACTAGAACTCCTTCTCCTATTCCTACTCCTACTCCTACTCTTACCCCTCCTACTACTACTACTACTACTACTACTACGACTACGACTACGACTACGACTACTACTACTACTACTACTACTACTAGTACTACTAGTACTACTGCTGCTGGTACTACTGTGAGTTTTCCGGACCGTTTCCGGACCGCGCGAGCTTATTTTGTTCCCAAATTTGAAATCGAATGCGTTCACGCATGGATCCTCATTATATAATACATAACTTATATTTTATGTAAATGATCTGATCAACGAAGAACAAACCCTTCCGCGATTGCTCACTGTGGTACCGCGGTTGCTACGCGATTGGCTGAGCGATTGAGGGCTGTCCGGGAAAAGGTATTTTGGACAACCCCCATATATATTATATTATAGATATATATTACAATTATTGACGTTAGGAAATCTTTGAGACCAAGTGAGACAGCCCCACTTTCAGGCCCTTCCCGGATGCTTCCAGCTATGCTCACGTTCTCCGTGCCTTCTGCGCTGCTGCAAAGATAGCGACACGTGGGAGGCCACGGCGTGGCGATGCCGATGGTGCCTATTTAACTGGAAGATTAGGGTATATTCCATATGAATTTTGGATATGTCATATAGATATGGTTCTAATGCTTCCATATAATTTTTGGATATGTCATATAGATATGGTTCTAATGCTTCCATATAATTTTTGGATATGTCATATAGATTTAGATGATATCATACCAGGGACCTAAATTTAGATGATATCATACCAATAAACTGGAAAACTATAGGCATTAAGATGATACCCAAATTGCGCACGTTCTTGCCAAGTTGTGAAAGCTGCATGAATTTGTTCCCATGGATGTTTTGACGGCTTACAACTGGAACTCTTTGTTGTGGAGGGTAGCATTTCTCAATCACCAGAGAGGTCAAACTGACTTGAAAAGGGTTGACATTTATCAAGCATCTCATTCCAGTTGAAACAATGATGTGTTTATCTATTTGGAACATGTTCAACCAAGACGTTATGCACTTTGAATATTTGATTCATCTAAGACTTTATTTTTGTCTTTATTCAAGACCTCATTCAACGTTTTCAGATTTCTTTTCATGTCGACCGTCATCAACGCTTCATGAAATTCTCAGAAAGCAGGCGCGACTTGCTGCGCCGCGCCGCTTCTTGGGGGCAAGCAACGGATGGGATGAGACGATGGGATTTACGGTGGCCACAAAATATTGGGATTAATTATGATTAATTAACAAACATTGAGGTTTTAAGTTTTAACATGTTTTAACCAACAGACATGGGAATCTGGCAAGCAAAAAACGTGGATATGTCAGTAGTAAAGATTGGAGCTTCTGCCGCAGAGTTTTGCGACATAGCCAAATCTGACAAGTTCCAAACAGCTAAGCAAAACCAAACTGAGAGACAACCAACCAGAATCCCGAGAGTCTGAATTGTACTTCATAGTCTGTTTGTCCAAGAAGATGTTGCTTCCATCCGCCAGTGAGTTGTGTGGCGCTTGGCAGCTGCCTCTGAGGAAGACTTGCTGACTGAAAGTCGCGAGGCCATGTTGCAGGCCCAGCTCATGCTGCATACCTGCCCACATTCCCATGGCAACATGAAAACCACATTTTAACTGGGGGAGCCAAAATATGGTTGGGGTAGCAGCTATTGAGCGTGTAACTTACGATTAACTCGTGTCCCAGCGGTCAGACAAGAGATTTGTTGGACCCGCTTTGAAGATACCTGACCTCCTCTTTCTTTTTTCAATTTAGTTTCCATCCACACACTGGCACCCTTCCTTGAAACTGTTTGTCAAACCCATGCCTTCCTCATCATATCATGTTTCCTGTAGTTGTTTCCAGCACATCAATCCATAGCATGTTAAAGTTATGTTAGTATAACGTGAGTGAACTCCGCTACAGTAGATGGATGGTACAACGGTACAACCCTCGAACCACTTGGATCAGGTGGACGTTGATGCTTACCAGCAGCTGCTTCGTAGCAGCACTCACCTGGGCGACGCGGAATGTGCTGGTCGCCTCTGGGGTATCTTGGAACATCGGGCACACGAGTCAAAACTCACACCACTTACTTGTTGATTGGGTGATTAACGCTCAGAACATGACGGATGATATCTCTATCAGATATCTCATGATATCTCCAACTCTAGCTTTTGATGAGGAAAGGGATGATTAACCACTTGATGTTCGTGGTACCTTAGTTTGGACAATGGAGTGGAGATGGGCACCTGTGATACCAGTCGATATGAACATGCAGAAGCCGCAGCCAATCAGTTGGATGTGCATGGAAGAGTGCTTGGGCTGGATCCATTGCCATATCCCCCAAAATGGGTAGGCTCAAGCCCCAAATTGGACAATCGTTACTTGTCATTTGTAGTTTTGGTGTGTCAAAACGGTTGCAAGGGCGAAGCATGGTGAAGCGTTCAAGGGGCAACATGTCACACACGGTTGTTTTCAATGAAAGAAGAGGGTCAGTTTCAAGGCGAAATCTGAGGGGCCTTAGCATTACCATTCCCAAATGTATTGGGTACTGTGGGATCCATGGGGGTATGTGGGTGTAAAACAATGCCATAAATCACCCATTTGGGAATGGTAAACATGCCACTCAATCTGGGGGTTGAAGGCAGCATGGATCGCCAACCTTTCTCCAAGGCTACATGAAACGCTTCGGTGTTGATCCTGACACATCTACCCTGCTGAAGGTGGCTGGGAACACAGTCATTTCACATGTTGAAAGCGAATCATACCCATGACGGATCCATGGTGCTGGTAGAAAAATGCTAACATGACTGGGGTATATTGATGGGATCCATGTTACCATATATATATAGCATACATGGATCCGTCATGGGATAATGACTGGGGTATATTGATGGGATCCATGGCACACCATTAATATAGCACCATAGGATCCGTCATGGGATATACTGCTCATCTTTCTCACCGCAATGAGCATCGCCAATGCCAGGTGTTGGAGGTCTCCAGCAGCGCACCTTTCCTGGGTTTGGCACAGGAAAGCTATGGGGCTTTGCCTGAGAAAAGTTGGGGAGCTAAGGGGTTTCTGGGAAGCCATGGATTTGTTTCTGGGAGCTTTCGGATGAATTTCTGAGACATGGGAACCAGGTTTTGGTTGGAAACTCACAGTTGTTGCTTATAGTACTAGTACTGCTGTTTTGGTTACCATTTGCAGGGTGTTTCCTGTTGACCTGAAACTTAGCATCACCAGTACAATGATCATCCTAGTTTTGTTAAATAGTGTGTATTCATATTATGCGTGTAGATTGTGTAAGTATTCATATATTAATGCATGTATGTTGTGTAATAGTGGAAAAAATAATCCCCCAACCCCCCCAGGTCATCTTTTGGGGGTATGAAAAGTACATCTCCTCCACATTCATGGTGCGCCACAGCCTCGCTATCGAGGCCAGACCGAAGAGACCCTGCTGCTGGCGTTGCGCCCGCTGGCAGAGCTTGGGGATTGGCGTGGCCTGGAACGGATGCTGCAGAGGCGGTGATCCCATTGGATTTTGGGGTCCAATCCCATTGTGGCAAGGAATTCCCAGGTAAACCATGGATGAAGATTATGAAGTGCCATCAGATGTCCAAGAGTTAACAATATTATATACCCCTCTCCAAATTGGTGACATAACAAATGTTGCACTAAACAGGAGAATTATGTTGAAAACTTGGGAACGTTGGCCGCTTCGCTGTTTTTGTTGGGACTACTGAGAAAAACCGAGGAACAATGTGAGATTGAACAGGCTCCAACCCGCCATGAGGCATTTGCCAGAAGGCCAGAGTGCAGCAGTGGCGATGCTGCAGCTTCAAGCACTCTCCGAAGCCATGCCTAGGATGTTGGGCAAACACATGGCGCATGTTTCTCCATCTACCAGAACCTAACTAGAAGATTCGTGGCTTGTAAAGGAAACCACCATCCTATTGATTTCACTTCCAGTGCCATGCTATTTTTTAGGCTGACCATCACGGGGTATTGCAATGAGTCTCGTCATCACTCTTTACATAGCAAGATGAGCAAGTCCTTAGTTGCACATGGTATCTGTAAAATCAATCTAACGAAAAGATACGAAAAGGACAACTGTCACACAGCACGCAATATTGTTTGATCAATTGGCACATTCTCAGTTAATATGTGAAAGTTGTGAGTATCGGAGAAATCTTTGCCGTATCAAAGCCAATCATTCATAATTCATCAAGATTTTCCATCTTCGATGCCATGTTTGGATAGGGAACCTATGTGGGACATTCCACGGCAGGAAGCGCCAGCGCAGCATGGATGCAGCCGGCCGATTGCTGCGCGCCGGCGGACGGCTGGTGCCGGCTGGTGATGAAGAGACACTTGGCAACAGCGGGGGGTGACGGTCTCAGTGATCCTCCAATCCAACATGGCTGGGAAGTCCCCGAACTGGGTATTTAGAATATGTTAAAATCATCAAAATAGGAGCAGAATCTAATGTCGAATTTGCCATTGCCATGTTTGATTCTGCATATCAGTTGGGTTGGCTTGCGGATTGGTGCAGATTAGCAAGCTGCAAGACATCATCAATGAACCATTGCTAGTCAATGAAAGTCTAAAACTGAGATTTATGTTTTATTGGGGGTTCAGCATTTATCTATCTCCAATGTAAATGTACACTTTGCCTTCTTATTTGGCCTATCAAATGTTGGTTGTAGTGCTGGGTTTTAATCCGAACATCTAAAAAATGTAGAATCTGAATTTTGGTTGGACAATCGTACCAAAACCTCCCATACCTTAAAATGATTTATAATAATTTGACTAGTGCATGTACTCTACCGTCCCTAAAAATATGTCTTAGTAGTACTTGGCCCTAATTCAGTCATATCTTATCTGAGAGATATTCTGCAAACAAATCCCAGTTGAATTCCAGTCCCAGTCCGGTTCCATATAATATGGTTAGTAATATCTCATAAGTATCCCATTAATATAACCAGTAAATTCCCATTCACATTCATATCTCAGTCTTATATACCACATATATTCCAGTTATATACCAGTTATACTCACGTGATCCCACGGTTGGGTCGTGGGATTTGCCACGTCCACGACGTGGCCTTCCAAGATCCCTGGGCTCCGCGTTGCTCCGCAGAGCCTTGGGCCCTGGGCGCCGGGAGATGGCGGCAATGGCATCGGTGCCGTTGCCACGACTGGCAGGACCCATGCGACAGAGGTGGCATCTTGGGATGGGAGGTTTCAGATGGAGCACTTGGACATCAAACTGCACATAAAACTAATAATATAATATAGAATATTATGGAATCAATGTGTGTCAGTAATGTTAAATACAGCAATTATAGTTGTTAGCGATAGTTTGGTGAAGAGGTTTCTCTGATGTTTTTTGACATGGTTTCGATGTTTTGACAAACATGCATGTGTGCCCTTTAACATTGTGCTCTTGTCCATGAATGTGTGACAGGCAAGCAGGGCTGCTGTGTGCAAGCCGCGCCAAAGTCGCCTTAGACTTGGGTGATCCTCAGCGTGCAGAGGGCTGGATTCACAGGTGTGGACCTGAGATTTTGGGTGAAATTTCCGACATTGATACTGGGTAATCTAAGCTGTAGCAATTCAAAATCAAATACCATCCCAAAAATGGCAATTACCAGCAAAAAGATACAAAAAGTAGGATTATTCATTCATAAATTGTCCCCATGTTTACATATGTTTACCGTATCTGTCGATGAATTTACCATGGCCAGGTTGGATTACCAGAGGCCATGAAAAAAATCAAACGACCTTTAACCCTCAGTACCCATAAACACCAAGAAATTGGGATAGCAACCAATTTCAATGGGTAATCCCTTGATGATCTGCAAAAAAGGTGGCTGCTTCTGCAAGAAGTCTTGATCTTAGAGGGTTCCAGGGCCCTGGATGGCCCTGGTGTTCCTTTCTGAGTCCTGAATTGATGCTGTTACTCAGGAAAAGACAATTGGTATCTTAATTGGTTTTTAATTTCATGCGATTTAAAATGTGACTTCGGAACTTTGGAAATCTTTGGAATGCCAAAGAAACAGAAGCTGCTGGCTGCTGGTTACGGTAGTCCTTGGTTTGTCTCAGCTCCAAGGCTGGATCGACTGTGGAGGCCTTAGAACCCACGCTGCCGCGGACCCTGTGCCGCCGCTTTCGCCCAACAAAAAGGCTCTGTGCTCTTGGACCTTAGATGACCTCGCCATCAAAAGGCCCTCAAAGGGGGAGTGAAGCACCAAGAAACTGGAAGTTGGAGATTTTCAACATATCAAAACCTCTGTTTTTCCGATTGGAAGGTGCCATAAATATTCAAAAACAGGAATTATTATGATGTGCTACACGTCGTGTCTTGACTAGTGATCCACTTCAGATTTGATGCTCAATATACTACTGTTTCACTGACATGTTTCTCCCACCATCTCCCACAATAGTTCGGTGATATCAACTTGAGCTCTTGCTGGCATTTTCTTGTTTGGCCCAAGGCCCAAAAGGTCAGGATCACACTGCAGTCATGTTGCCCTCCGCTTTCCAAAGGTTCCGGTGCCGTTCGGCATGAGACCGCAACGCAGGTCCTACGCCGGCGACGAGAAGAGTCCCCCCCGTCGCGAATCCGCTGAAGAGCGTGGCCTGGCGGCTGCAGCGCGGTTGGCCGCAGCAGTGGCAGCTGCCACCCACGGCGCCGATCCAAAATTCCGCCTGCGGCGCCACAGCGCCATCGGCTGTGAGCGCCCGCTGCACGCCTGGAAGGATCCCCTGCGCCCCGAGCCGCGCCCGGAGCCACGGCCAGAGCCCCGGCCCGAGCCGCCCCGACGGCCGCGGGATGCGTCGCCCACCGCGCGGCCCAGGTTGACGCGGGCGCAGAGCGCACGTCGGCCTGCGAGGCTGGAGGCACCAGCACGGGCACGGAGTGCGGATCCGCGGAGGCGATATGAAGCGGCCTATGTACCTGAAGGTACTGAGGACTGAGAGTTTCACACAATGGATGTGTTCACTGGATGAAGGTATGTTGGCATCATGTTGGCATATTATTTACAATTTAACTGCAGAAAAGATCAGAAAAGTATGACTCATGTTGACCAAGAGATGAATCATGGGCAATATATGGGCAACTGGACATGTTGCTTGGGGAAGGAGATCGTTCCTGAGCTTGCCCCGGTGACACTCTCAGATTCTTAAGATTCTTAGATCCTCTGTGCAGTTTAGGGCAATTTCTATGAGGTGTCTATGAAGGCTGGCATCATTTACAGGGCGCCACATAGCTGGCCGAGGTGTTGAACACAGAAGCCAGGCCAACAAACGTGGCCGCAGGCCCACAAGTGTCACAAGTGATATATGGTGGGCATGGAGACTCCAAATGTCTCAAGAAATGCATGGAACCATTGGCTGGTCTGGTTGGTTTGGTTGCGTCCCCAAATGTCCCCAAAAATGGGTCCCCCGGAAACTGAGATATGGACATGCTGAGTCCATGCTGAGTCGTTGATGGACAGTCCAGCCTGTAACACCCACGGGGCCCCTTTTGGATATACAATGGGTGAATGACTTCCCACTAGTGTGGAAATGTGCTCTGTCTCAAGCTAGATTCTAGATACTTGATGATACTTGTATGATGCAGTGAGTAAAAAACACGACATGATATAACATGAACACTTTGCGACAAGAATCAGTTGCTGGATTCTTGCTTTAAGCCTACCCACAGGCGCTGTGCAAAGCCCCAGGCACAGAGGGAGCAAAATATTTGAGAGGATGGGATAGATCTATACGGTCTAGACGAAGATCTATTTGGATCTGGAGCTTCAGATGTGTTAGCTGAATACATCAACTTCAATGATCAACCAGTTGCTTAAAGTTATTCTTGAAAGACAATCTTGGCAACCACCTTGCGGAGCTGAAGGACTTCATGCATAGGCGTTTCAATAGTCAGCCAAGCTGTTTGTTGTTTTCTCAGATTTACCCTCTGGTAATTTAACATAGCTATTGAAAATGGCCATTTATAGTGAGTTTTCCCATTAAAAAATGGTGATTTTCCATAGTATGTTAAATTACCAGAGGGTATGTGCTTGGAAGAGTTTGCTTCGCTAGTTCACTATCAAACCGTCCGTCCCAAACTGCCAGATGCCGTTCGGAACGGTGGCTCGGCTCGGTCAACTTTCTTTTTAAGCCAGGCTTAGCACGAAATAAGACTTGCGCCTCCTAAGGCTTTCAAACCCATCTTAACAGTCTTAAGTATGCTGATAACATGGATCATCATGGATTATTATATATATATATCATTCATTATGGATCTGATGTCATTTATGGCCATGAATCCATGTCATGATATAGATAATATGCATACATTATATATGGATCATTCTGATTATCATGATATTATGGATCCTTGCTGGATCATTATTGAATCATTATGGATCATTGGTGTAGACTGTTTGCATCAATCCATGGCCGGTCGGCCGGTCTGTCTGCCAGGCTCGGAGCGCGGAAAAGCACTGGCCATATCTTGACGGCTGCAGTGAATGCAGCTGGTCGGAGGAGCAGTACCAATGTGTCGGCAGCTGAGGGATCCCGATTTTTGGATGGTTTTCCCATGATTTTGCCATGGTTTTCCCATGGTTTTCCTGGGAAAAATGGCAAAATGGCAATTCAGTTCATTATCGATGTTTGGCATATGCAGGAATAATTGTGGTGCTGCTTTGGTGTGTTGCTCACAGACACTACTTAGCCTGGTCTTCGAATGAACCGCTTTGATAAGCCGCTGAGGTCCATGGTAGACCAGCCTGCAAAGCCGTTCAAAAATTTGAGCAGCAAGATCTTTTCTGGCTCGTGCGCCAGATAAAAAAGTGATAGGATGTAGGCTGCCACGCCGGATTTACAATAAACTGGATATTGCAAAGTTCTCCTTTTGATGGTTTTTGCGTGGCAGGCCACATTCAATTAGTAACCCAAGATACTTATGGAAAGACAAAGGTTTGCCCCTAACTTTCAAACTCTATGCGTGAAGGCACTCGTTACACAACATTGGATTGAAATTGATGTGGCAATGATACTAGCAGAATTGCATTTTAGTTTGGTGCTCCTCAGAAACAGACAGGGATTGTCTGATTCAATGTATATTGTGCTAACAATTTACAATATATATTCCTATCCAACATTGCAATTGCAGCCCCAACAAAAAGGGGCCATTGCCAATTGCATCCCAAACAACGTTGATGGCTGGGATTGCATTTGGGATTCCAGGTACACGATGGAGAAGTTCCTCGGTCGTGGTGCTTCTGCCAGTGTCTGGGAGGCCATGCTAAACAAGAAATCTGGCCCTAGCCCAATCCCAACAAAGTGATATGGATTTATTCAAATCAGAGATCAAGATGGGGTTTGGAGATTATATGAGATTCTACATGTTTTTCGGAGATAGTTGGAATCATGGTTCACCCTAGGTTTATGCTGTTCATTTCTCCCATTATGCATCCTAGAGTGAACCGATGCTGCAGAGGCCATTCGCAGCGACAACCATCAGCGTGTGGCGGTGAAGGCGTGTGGTGTTCCCCCACGGTTTGGCGCTTCGCACCAATCTGCCACCACAATCAATGGTTACATAAAGACTGTATAAACTATCAGAAGCATCAATCAGGAACCACCTGCCAACGATATTTGTAGTCGGTAAAACAACCACAAAATCCAACAAAATCCAACAAAATCCAACCAATTCCAACAAAATCCAACCTATCCCTATATCTACTGATGGCGAAAAAAAACGTGTTGATGCATGTTGATGCTGATGTTGAGCAGGTCTTTGACCAAGGGCAGAGAGATAAACGCCAAGCCCACCGCGAGGCCTCAGCAGTGGTGGGGCCAACCCCAGTGGTAAGTATCCAAAAAAAGCACGGCCCATCATTATTTGATAGGGATGTGAGGTTTGTTTTGTTCCATAACCCGGTGCATTGCAATTGCAAAAAGGCTATCGATGAATTTTGTGGGTCCCTCCAACGCTTCAAAGTTCATACGCAGATCTCGGCGCTGATAGTTTTGTTTGATTCCTTTGTGTACAGTCTCTGCCCAGACACTTTATTTCCAAACGTGTGCAGATCTTCAAACGTCCCCCAGCGCCACAGATGAAAGTTCTCGCGCGAGTACGGCATCCGCGGATATTGGAGGCGCTGTGCGTCAAGTGGCTCCAGCTACTGACCGGAACTGAGTTCAACACACGGTGCCTTGCTTATTTATCTCAAAAGCAACATGTGCAACTTTCATCAACTTTCAACTTGCTGTTTGTTTTGATTTCCTTGGTTTTGTTGGTGATACTCCTATAAAATTGCTGTTGGATGCTGTTGGCAGGTCTCAGGGGTCACGTCCCCTTGCTGTTTAACACAAAAGCTCTATAAAGCTCTGAGTGAACTCAGCAGCTTTCTCCCATTTGGAGTGGCTTAAAACTTAGTTTTTATTACATCTTATTACATCCCCATTATCATTGCATAGCTTAAATCATATTAAATCCCTATCGGATTGGATCACCCCTATATTTTCGCCAGGCCTTTGAGGTGGTCGAAACCCCGCGCTTGGCGCAGTTGGTGTGTGAAGTGCCAACCTCCGCTCAGTGGATGCCGGTTCTGTAGGGGTTTCCATGGTTTTGCGCAGGAAGGTTGGGAAGATCCTTGTGGATTGGAGTGGACAAGATTGTTGATCCAAGATAGATTTCGACACATATACCATCATAATTAAAGGGCTACGCCCTCTGCCGCCGACCCCTGGACACTGGAGGGTCATGCCTGCCTCTGTGTCGTAAGCATGAAATGAACCCTAAAGAAACCAGAAACTGACCTAAACAAACCATTTGTATGTGCGTTTGGCACTGTGCACATGCAAGCAGCATGGACCCCTGCAGGATGACACGCACAACTATGTGCTCTGACACTTTTTCATGGCTCAAGAAATAGGAGCTTTCGTCATTGGCCAGGTGTCTTGGGGACCTAAAGGGTTGCTCTAGCACTTAAGACCCATACCCGAAGCCCCCGTTCGTAACCGCAGTATGAATCTTTAAATGGCATCCTAAAGAGACCCGAGACGACACTGCACTGCCAACTGCCACCCTGCTCGTGTCCTCCTGGAGCCGGCTTTCGTTCTGCACCGCTTCGGTCCAAGCTGGAGTCCAAGGACCGTGTCGCAGGGCTAAAACACCATGGCAGTGAAGGACGGATTGGGCCC